TGAAAGTCATTCCAACTTGCTCATCGAGTATACCGCATTCGAAGCTTTGAAAAAGCTATGAGAAAATAATTTAGGACAAAGTAGCTAAGAATTGGATAGAGCTGAAAAAGATACTTCAAAAAAGTTTCAACATCAATTGCAGCCTTCCTAGATTTCAAGGGAAATAAAGCATCCAAAAGTGGAGTATCAGAGCAGGACAGAACTTTCTGACACCTAATAGTTATGTAGCGCCCATGCTACGCGTTTCAAGTGAAAAGTGGCGTTGTTTCTGCTGCTCTAGACTAGTTTCCTTAGACTGTTGTCCAATAATGGTTACTGGAGCAGTGGCCTCACCTGCGGCGGAGTAGGGTGCGACTACGCAGGTCCTTTCAGATGGAGCAAAGATCAAAATGGTTGTCATTGTTTATTACTACATTACTAGCGATCGTGTGATTCGAGCAAAAATGAGAAACGCTTCATGTTTACTCAAGTACATATTCCGACCTTTGTTGGGCAAAGCGACGAGTTTGAACGATTTTTGGCAACGCTAAAGCAGCGATCTTGGTTCGAAGGTTCAGCAGAGCCAAAAATTTATTGTGGCAACTTTGACACCATCGTAAGCTATTGAGCAGCTTAACAACCTAACTGTGGGCCATACGAAATTGTTCGACAGAATAATTAAAAGAGGTTTCACAAGTATGCTGTGTTGTGAATAAAACTTTGTGAGCAAAACAATACTTTGGTCATTGTCGATGTCGGCTAACCGGCTCAACACGTTATACGTGTGAGTGCTGACAAGCTATGGTTTTTATACCATGAGAAGCTGAGTTGGGATGAAAAGGTGCCCCGATAGCGTAAATGGAGCGCACTTGCCCGGAAAGCGGGAGGAGCGGGTTCTAGTCCCGCCTGGGCGAATGTTTTGTTCACAACCCAGCATAGTTGTGAAACATTCGTAAGGCGAACTGGAGGCCAAGAACAACAGTTAACAAACAAAAACAGCTTAAAGGAGGTTTCCACTATAAAAGGTCAAGGAAGGAGAAAATTGCTAACGGTAAGTTGGGAGACAGGCGGACCTGCTAAGGGTGCGGACCGACGCGCAACTGCCAGAGAAGATTTGAGCTCAGCAATCTAGCATGGTTCATTCTTGGCGCAGTTGGCGTGGTACACCCACTGACATAGCAGTGAGAGCGTTAGCGTTGAAGAGGGCATGATGAGAGTCGCATCAATACGGAAATCAACGAGGGATCCTATTTCTTGTGTTCCGGGCCGTTTCTCATGGATTTTCCTTCTTTCATGTATCACTGACCATAATAATCGAAAATGGGGTGCCTTCTCAGTGTAAATTTCACCTTAGAGACGATGACGACAAGCTGACGCGCCCGTCAGCAGCACGCTACGTATCTTTTCCGCACTTATCCAACTCCTCCCGGCATTTGTTCTTACTGTTCTATAGACAAAGCATTATCATGCCTATAAACGGCGAAAATGATACAAAATAGTGCCATTGGAGATACTGCTCAAACCTACTTTCCTTTGAAGTAAAAAATCATGCAGCTCTTGTGGCATCTGCATGACTCACATAGCGTGAAATTCAATTGCTTCGAGGAAAGGGACTTTTTGTGAACTGGGCACTTCCCTCAAAAGTGGCACTGTCAAGATATAAGAATGGTGGATCGTGAACAAAACCTTCGCACCAAGCGGGATTCGAACCCGCACCTCTTGCTTATTGGGCAAGAGCGCAACGACGATGCCGTCCTACGGTTTCTGAAGCGTTATTAATTTTAGAGCTATCATCGATCTGTAGAAGTCTTCTGAGATCTTGCCCTCTAAATACCCATGGACTGGAGATCGTATAAGGGAGCCAATTTCTTCGGAGAGCAAACGGTCCTTGAACAAATTGCCCATAGATTCAGAACAACATTCCTAGACCAACATCCTAGGCCAACATCACCTTTTGCAAGACCTTCGAGGTAATTTAAACAGTTTCTGAAGATGAACACCAGTGGGCTCCACTTACAGATGTGACCATGATCCAAACTATCACACCCTGGGAGGAAGTGTGCTGTGAACCGAGTCCTATTTCGGAGACTTCCTCTGAGTTTCTGAGTCAACTGTCTCTGAGTTTGTCGAGTTTGTCGGTCATAGAGAAGTTTGAAGCGATAAAATTCCATCAGCCCGAATCGTTGGAGAGATGCAGTCAGCTCGCGCAGAAATTTCTCCGATTCTATTCGAATTGCTCTAACAAATGCAATGTCTATGCAGTCGGTAATTCTTCGTGATAGGGTGATCCCCAAGTTCTTCCTGAATGATTGACGGCGATATCCGAGATTGGAAGCGATGCGACTCACACTGGCTCCATCGTTGTGAGCGATCCCCTTCTAGGCAGTTGCCCTAGTCATGTGAGTGAGCACAAATCTCGATTTCCAAGGATCGTGTATTATGATACAGCTTACTGTTCGAAGCGTAGAAAGGAAATACCGAGTCGCTCTGTGGAGTCGCAATTCAGAGACGGTCCTTGGGCAGCTTCTGGACAGTGGATAAGTGCGAAGAAAACTTCACAGCGAGAGTTTACGTGAACTGTGGACAAAGCAGCTCATGAGCCTCTTACACAGTTCCAGAACTTTCGAAGAGTTTTGATCCATTCTGAAAACACTCGAAGAACCTTCCTTCCCTCCTTCCTCTCAAGCGGAACCAACGTCAGCATACCATTAAAAAGCTGAGTTCGGATGAAATGGTGCCTTTGAGTAGCGTAAGTAGGCACTTAGCGGTAAGGCAAGCAGGGCGAGCTCGAGCGAGATTTGGAGCCGAAAGTTTTGCTCAACATCTCAGCATACTTGTGAAAACTGACACTTCGGCCAAACATCCGATTGTTTTGCGTCAGTTTGCCTCGCGGAAAGGGTCGAAAACAGGTCTGAAGAGACGACGGCTTTCAGACGCAAGTGTTTCTGCATCAAGCAGTTCAATGAGGCATTGCAAGAGAAGACTATAATCCACTCCGCCTTCATCTCCGAATCGCATGAATCCTGCTAAGAAACGTGACGGCGTACATGACAGAGCAAATCTCACAGTTTATGATGGAATGTCCGTAGAACCACAAGCGAGCAATACGTTTCTGGCCACAACGCATTCAAAGCTCGGTAGTTCCGTCAGCGCGCAGGGTTTCTTTATAGCGAATCCCGAGTACCGTCAGACCTCCGTACATGAAGCCATCTGTCACGATCTCAATTTGGCGAAAAAAACATCGAAGGGCTCACACCACTGTTGGACAAATTGAAAGACAGGATTTTCGCCTAAGAAATGTTAAATGTAAGAGCAAGCAAGTGACTCATGTGCGCTGTTTAGTCAATCGATTCATTGCGCGTTTTTCGATTGCTATCTTTTGTCGGAGCAGCACACTTTTTCTATAGAATGCTAATTCATTTTCTTGCATGTGTTACCATACCACGTTCCGGTATCTTTCAAACTTTTTTTTCGGCCAACTTAGTGCTTCAAACATGTGAGTTTAATGACCATGACGCCGTATCACTCAATTTGGATTCATTAATGGGAGAGCGGAGTTAGTCTTAAATAGCCGGTTTCGGAAACGTTGTTGCTTTATGCCGCAACCGAAGAGATAGAAACGATCCGAAAAGCGCACAATAGATTACAGGAAGATGGGTGAGAGCAAGCGTTGCGTCTGGGTGCAACTCCGATGTGACTCAGAAGAAATTTGTTAAGCAAGACGTGATAAACTGAAAACTATTTTACATCTTGAACGCGGAAACACAACCAGGACCGACTTGTTGTATTCACATATGTACACTGAATATATTCGCGTGAAATATCGACACGTCATAAAAGGCAAAAGCGGGATGGCCGTACTAGTAGGAGAGATACCACTTGGAAAAATGCAAGGTCTGCTAACTACCTAGAATCACTCCAGCTTTCGTCGCGGAAATTGCGGGTTAGGGCGCTATACTTTACGGTGCCGGCAACCATTCAATGCTCCCCACCCACCGCGGAGGTGGTACGATCAGCGTGCATCGATGTAGAGATCAGCCGTGCTCTTCAAACAACGTGCTCTTTTGGTATTTTGTCTTCTTTGACCCGCCCCCTTCTCGACGTCGTGCTACATCCGCCTAACTGAAGGCTATGGCCTTAGTTCAGCGTTTTAAAAGACTCTCTTGCTTCCCATCCCACTTGAGGCGTTCCGCAGCTAGGGTATCACTGCAGAGCGCTGATAGCACTAGTTCCCTCCCGGAGTTTGCCTTTAAGGACATCCTATAGAACAAATAATTCAGGCAGTTGCAGAGAAATTTATTACACTTAGATCCGAAAATGTACAAGAACATCAGTTCAGAAAATCGCCTATAAAGTGGCCTAATGAGTTAGAAATTCAACAACACATCATCGAATTGCAGATTCATGATGCAAGAGGCGAACCGTTTGAAGTGTGAACACAGGTTGCCTCACATTGATTCTTTAGTGTAGAGGCAACTGTTTATTCAGTGGAACATTCATGCCTGTTAAGTTCTTTGAAATAGATGTCTCTCTCCAATTTCGTTCCGACCGTATTATTTCTATAGTATTGCTCGCATTCATTTGTTTCGACCACCTATAATTGAGCAAATGAAAATGGATGAAACTGTTGTGTAATAGGGAATAACCTGGAATCACCATCCTCATATCACATCACAGGGAAAGCGTTTGTTTAGCAGCTGCTAAAGCTGCATAAAAAGTTTGACAAAAATGTAAATGTAGACTGTAGTCAATGAGCAGGCACTCGTGGGCTTCACTAGACAACACTATCCACTGCCTTATCCTTGCTCATGAATAGATGTTGTTATCAAGTGCTGCTTTCAAGTTTCGCCTGTTATGCACTTCACTTCAGCAGCTGCTTGACAACTATTTTTTTTACCAGGTTACTTTTGTTCATTTCGTACTAGTGGGGTTGTGTCCTTCTAATGTCGGTTTCTTCGGAAACTACCATATTTTGATGAATGGATCGAAAAATTATACCTCAAACTGAATATTCACTTACGTACACAGCCGCGATGAGCGCATGATACGTGATTAATGACATATGTTGACGGAATGCAAAAATCACAGGACTCCCTATAGGAAAAAACAAAAAAGCAAATCGTTTGGAAGATAGTCAGTGGCAACATCACTCGAATAACGTTGGCATTTTCTCGAAGTTGATATGACTGTAAACTAAACGATCTTCTGAACCTGAAAAATGAGTATTTGCGAGAGAAGTAAAATATTAATTGCTTTCGTCATTTTTCGACTATCAAATAGCCACAAACTCCTCGAAACTTTGCCATCATCAGCATTTGTCTATGTTTTCTCTCTCACGTACGAAAATCAACGGGAAAGAAGTGCTAATTCCTCGCAATGAAGTACTTGCATATTGCAATCAGATTCGATCGGTATTATAGGTATTCTGCTTGTTTTTTCTGACACTCTGGCATGGAAGGTTTTCTTCTGGATGAAGGTCGGATCAAACATGAAAAAATTTCTCCTCGGTCTCCATTTGTGCTCCGTCTGTGACTCAGATCATCCCACAATTTTCCAATCCTCTTAGCTTGCCTCTTGTGGAAGTCATCGTGCTATACTTCTTGCCTGCTAGCACAACCCTCCCTTCATCCGTCTAGAAAATTCAAATCTCTAGCCAATTTTACCGTTTTTCTCGCTGACTTGCTGTAACTGCGTTATTTTACACTATCTTCGTCTAGCCACCGAGACTAGCCGGTCGCCAAATGAGGGCGAAAGAGTAACAGGGCCAATAATACATGTACATTCATGAACAGGGAGGACTAACCATAGCACGTAATGTGTAAATTAACACGTAACGGGCGTCTGCCACTTTACAACAAATTTCTTTTTCTTTGTAGCACTTCAAGTAATACGGAAATATTATTGTGCACTTATATTCTAGGCGAATAACATATGTTTCAGGACCGACTTCGTTGCTCGCAAATTCACAACGTTCTCAATAAAATCATCGTCACGTGCGATTTCCTCCTATTATAACTCGCTGTGAGGATTCCCGAAGCGCACCCGAAAACGCTAATCACTCGAAACTCGTAAGAAAACCACCTATAGATTGAAACCCTACACCCTAGAAACCATTTCTAAGTGCGACGATAATAGAGAAACAGGAGAAGTCAAGGAAAAAGGAATACCTGAGAAGAATGACTAGAAATTGCACTGTGTAAGAACACCCGTAAAATAAGCCGGATGCGTAAAACACAGAGAACTCGTAAATAAGAAAGAATAAAGAGATATGCGCAGGAACTTCCTTGCGCAGAGTTTCCTAGAAGTGATCCGATCCTGGAGTGAACGCGCGTAAGCTACGTTGCTTCTACTCTCGTATGAGTTCTTTCGGTGAAATAGCGTGCGCACAAATTAGCATATCCGATTTCCTCACTATGCTAATGGTCCCCTAACCAGTAACCTCCTCACAAATTTCGTTTCCCTACTAAGTGCTGCTGCTGGCTTCACGGTGATTGAAGGACAGTCTGTAGTAGCTCCTTTTTTGTTCACTAAACCTACTCTCACTGAAGTGTCGTATCAGAACGGAGGGCTGCATGGATGCCAAAAGCTCGAATTCACTTGTGTTCGGAAAGCTCGGGCACAAAAGCATTGTTTTCAGCGCCATAAGCACAAGCGTGCAGAAAACATACCCCGGGTGCCGGAGTGAGCCACCATGTAGCGCACGCACGAGAGGCGGTAAAAAAAGCCGGCCGGCACACAGGCTCGCTCGCGTAAAAACGCCGCTGTCTGTGCCTTGGGAATTCAGTTTGAGAGTGCAAAGTGATCGCAAGAGTAAATGATAGGAATACGAAGAAGGCTCTCGTTTTATGAGGCACCTTTCCGCTGCTTCTTACTTCTTTAAAATTTTGGGCCCATAATTACTGTTGTCCTTAATAACAAGTTGAGGTCACAAGAGGACGCTATCGAATAATCCATTGCGCACCGTTTCATCGCATAGTTGTTAAAAATATACAACGATATAATTCCGAGCAGGGTAATCACGTCGATACCGCAAAGTCCATAAGTCAGAATCGTGGCTCGGTTGACAGTTTTTTCGGTGACGGTAGAACAGTAGAAGGTGCGAGTACTGAAATCTACATTCTGCACAACCCATGCCGTTATAGCAAATGATACGACAATCTGAAATAGGAGCAGTATCAGCTGGATGTCGCAGACTTGACTTTCAGTAATATAGTAAGTGTCTGCACCGAAACGAATGCCGAAGTTATTCCTAGTAGTGAGCTGTAATGCTCGTAGTGCTGACGTTTCCATAGCGCTACAGCACGCTCGATGACCATTGAACACTGAACGATTGAATCTTATTGAGTTGCATGCTGATTACCTTTCCAAGGCGTGTTCACGTTTCTACCGCCACATAAGACATTATTCAGCTGAAATGTTATAAAATACCCCTTTTACCCTCTTCTCAATCAACCACTCCACCTAGGTTACATAGACCAAGTGGTTGTAGGAGAAAAAAATCCTTTCGAGGTGAATGGTGCGGTTACAAAAACAAAAGAAGTGAGCATTTGCAGCACATTGCACACATTACCCCTGGGTGGTAATTGATTGAACGATACCTTATTACCGAGTACCTCATACCGCCACAGAGAGATGGGTACACCCTAGAAGCCAGTCCCTTGTAAAATCTCCTTCCTTTAATAAGGAGTGTCAAAACTCAGAAGTCAATGTTGGGAAAATCTTACCACTGAGAATTAGGTAGTGAGGAAGTATTGCTACATTGTCACAACCATCATAGTCCTAGATTTTTTAGGTTAAATTTTTAGAGAAATATACTATCCACTACAACTCCTGGTCAAATCAGTTGCTGTATTTTGCTCTTCTGCATAGAATTTCAACAACTTATGGCTCCAAATTAACTCAAGGCACTTCCGTACCTGCAGTGCAGCGAAGCACACCATACAGGATGTTGACGAGTAGCGTATTGAGATACAAATTAGAGGAGGCAAGCCCACGTTACATGGTTCCGATGTTGTGAGGTATCGAATTATCTGCGTGGTCTAAACATGGAAAATGCATGAACCTCACAACTCCTACAATATGTGGTGGAAATAGCAATAACACTACCATATTGAGGTTTATGAACCTGGTATCTAGTACAACCAACAAAAAGTAGGGTTACGCATGTTTTCAGATCCCAAGGATCCACAATTTTGCCCTGTGCTTCTGACTACGCAATACTCGAGAGGGCTTCCAATATGTGGTCAGGGCATCGTAGGATTCGCAACAGTTCTAGGATCGGTCCTTCTTTTTGGGTCTGTGAAAAATGGTACGACTCCTGTTCCTTCGCACGCAATCAAGGATGCCTCGCTCCTAGGTGCGAAACAGCTCCTCATGGATGAGAAAACTCAGAGGTCAGATTCCAGCCACACATCCGTGTTAATTAAGCAAAGAGCCACTAATAGACAAAAAAAGTGTGGAATGAAAAAAATAGAACTAGTCTCGCAGTCAGGCACACGTTCCACCATAAGAGCGCGCACGCAATGTGAGCCAAGGCAGGCAACGATCTGATGTCGTCATCAGCAGATGTGATTGTCATCGTACGAGGAATTAAGCCAACTGAAACTTATACAAATCCTCTTTTCAATATTTTGATTTGTTATCATCATAAAGTTCACCGCTGAGGGAAACCATATCGTTCAAATGAAAACTTCCATCACCTAATGACCAAAAAGGAGCTGCCTGTGGTTAAGAATTATGCGGCAAAGTTTTCGTCTTTACTCCTATACTTGAATAACATCATCAGATCTATTGTGCTGGGGTTCCAGTTTGTCCAAGTGATTCAAAGAATTTGGAAATTGAGCAAGATGATGAAAACTATGTTCACGGTGTTGGTAAACTTTTTTGGTTGGGCATACATTCTATCTCCATTCCATTCTGTCCAGAAGTGGCATTTGAATGCTATCTACTCTGCACAATAAACGCGCTGGCCAGCAGATGTGCGAAATACTGTTTTTTTTGTACATTCACGTTTCCGTCTCGCCTAAGAGAACCGCCGCGAGGTGAAAGCTTGGTTGACATGAGCGCGATTCGAGCCGGATTCGACTAGCGGTATTCTTTGATGCACTGTGCATGAAGATTGACGAGAATGGTTACGCACTCAAAACAGAAAGTGAATCTTACTGCAGAGGATGTCGCGCTATGTTATGAACAAATCTATTTGTGGAATTGGGTTAATCCTTGTATTTTGCTCATAGTGCTGGGTTTATATCGCTCAGATAATACATGAATATTCAACCCTGATCATTATTGGAATGATGTTGCTCTTACTCAATTAATACGAATGTGGAATTAGCACCATGACCGTTGAGCTTTCTACTCAATTAGAACTGCTTCGGACCTAGGAGCGGAGCATCCTAATACGTGCGAAAAAACNGGAATTGTACCACTTCCCACCACCCCTTTTCTTACCTGACCGTTCAAATATGAACTATGACTTTGGAGGCACTTGTCTCGGTACTGTATTATACATTCATAAATGCAACTTCACAGGGATTGCATTTTCCGAAACATATGGGTGGAAGCCAAAAAGTCATCCTCCCACTTTGGTACGAATCTAGTTCCATTCTGAGGTCAATTTTTGCGCATCCCTGTCACTGCCGAAAAACACCGCAAAAATTGCTACGGAAGTGCATTTTTCATCGCCTCAAAGTGGTAATGAGAAAATATAGCACTAATTGTATTTAAGAGGTTCCTGTAGGAGACTTAGCAAACGACACGAAAATTTGTCAAGAATGAGTTGCTGTCAATGACATGTACCTGAAGAACTCCGGGCATTCCACAGGGGAGTCGGCGCATTAGTTGCGAAAGTGGTCGATCTCTCGAGCTTGGGTTGCAAGGATAATGCGGTGCGCTGATTACGAATCTAATGTCTACTAGTGATAGCGACGCAATACAGTCGCATTGGCCTCATTAGGCATCATTTTGGCAGCGTTTGATCACCATATTATTCCCAGCCTAATTCTGTGCGAAAACCTGCACAAAAACTCTGATAATAATAACAGTACAGTGCCGATGCTCGGTGCTGGCAGAATATGGCGCTATTTAGCACGCTCTCATCTATAAACAAAATTTTGTCACCAGGCTGATATGCCTTAACTGTTTTTTTTTTGCTTTTTTGGCATTCACAGGGCCGCTTAGAAGAGATTTACATATTTCAGCTTTTTTTGAGCAAATTCCTTTATCTAATATCCAGAGGAGCATTTTGCAAAAGCGTTTCACGTCTTGTAAAACTACCCTAGTAAGACATCGAAAGAGCTTCCTATGGCTGCCTATTGCACGCTTGGATGAATAGTAGACCATTAAGACGACATCTGAAAAGCAGGCTGCAAGGGATTTTGCATGGTGAGAGCTACATTCATTAGAAAGATATGCACTAGTATAACGGTTGGCGAAATCATGCAGCAGCTTCGAAAGCGATTGCGAAAAACCACTCAGCTCGACGGCGATGGCAGATAACGTCATATTCTTAAGAAGGTGAGGTCAGTGATGGAGGGTCTGGTCGTGCTTATGGAGAGGCCTTCAAGGAACATGCTGTCATAAATCTACTACCAACGGCCGCACTTTGTGCCATGAGAGAATTTCTGGAGTGATCCATTGGCAAAATGACCTTTTTCTACCCCCCCCCCACCTAAACGTATGCTATTTGGTTCCACTATGTTTTATTGACGGCCAGCATCTTTATCTATATTAGTCTACACTGTCGATGCTACTCACGCCAGTGAGCCACATAGGGCCAGCATCCGGAATATGCTGCTTCATATAGTCTAGCTTTCCCTTGAATATACGAGTCGACTACCCCACATCTGCAGCTCTTCCCTCTTCGCCTCACTGTCTTTTTGAGTAAGAACACTTCAAACATAAGAGAAGGAAGAGAATTGCAACAATGTGAGCGAAACATACTTGCAATCCCGCGATGAGGACTGAATGCACGATATACATTAACAGTGAAGTTATTACCAATATCTGAAATGGAAGAATCAATGTTTTACATGGTTTACATAAGTAGCTTCAAATGGTGACTCATGCCGCCATTAAAAGGAGGATTCCACGATAAGGCGGAATGTCGAAGAAGGCGAAGTTATCTAGTTAACTTACCTCTTGAGACTGCGCACTGACACCCAATTCTTATTGAAGGATATGCCCCTCGGCAATCTAGCATGGTCTCTCCGCACGCCCTGAGTCCAGTCCAGTCCAGCCGTTCGGCGGAGAGAGAGAGAGAGCGTCAGCGTTTGAGAGTCGCATCAGTGAGCAAGGTCACGGGCAGGTAAGGTCTCCCGTTTCTTCGGTTCTGATCCTTTCCGCTTGATTTCAACTCCTTTTTTGGATCACTAACCAGATCTAACCTAATTTTCAGTGTGCTACATTTTCATCAAGAAATTCGACTTCAAAGACAAAATCAAGCTAGTCTAATGTTCCGAACGTTCCGAAAAGAGCAAAGAAAGTTGGAAAAGAGGGCGCTTTAGAGATCTACACTGAAGCTGGATAGTTCGCCTTTTAACACCTACGGGACGGCATGTCTACGCCCAAGAGCCCGCTTTGCCGATAATGTTTTCTCAAATCACTGTTTTCGCCTCTCTTCTTCCTTTTTCTCCATGAGCAATTCACCTCACCCTCATTCTCAGTTCATCTAAAGACCAAGGGATTAGCTCATTTAAGCGATCTTCTGCCCTAAGATTAGTTAGAACTACAACTTTTCAAGACGCTAGTAAGCGTTTTAAGAAAGTAATCACTTTTTGTACCAGACTGATAATTTTGGGACACTCCACATATACTGCTGTAAGGAGCTCCTGAGAAGTTTTTAGCTTTCTAATACGTATTGTGACTCAACATGCAATCACCTATTTGCTAATCAGCCACCTTCATTGCTCGTTGTTTTCTTCAGCCAAGGCTAAATTTCTTTAACACCTGCATATTTTGGATGAGAAGCCTAACCCTTTATGATCACCAATTCAGGCATTTCACGTGTTAGGGATCAATCAGAACATATAGACCATATTTCGAAGTCTGATTCGGCGTGTCACCGGGAATGACGAGGCAGCCACCGCACCTGATAGAAGTTGCGCGGATAAGCCGCTTCCAGCAGGCTTCGCTCATATCTGGCGGAGTATCTTATCCACACGACATCTATCATGGGCGGTGGCCGCCACGTAATTTCCGGTGACACACCCAATCAGACTTGAGGAGCATGGATATGGACTGTAGTGTAGGGTACGCTGCCTCAATCCACGGTGTACCTGTGATTCTCTCTGCTCAAAGATTGGCTTTTTTACTCGAAGTTGATCCTCCCTCCAACCACTCCCTTACGGGCATTCTCGATGCTCTGCACGGCATCACTGATAAGAAATATAGGCAGATTATTTGCTCGCAGAGCGTATCCTGTCACCTGTATCACCTGTCGTCCCGTTAATCGTCGATTTGCTCGAGCGGGCGCCAGCAACGTCTCCATTCGTCCCTGTCGCGTGCTAGAGTGGTCCAGTGGATCCTCATTGCTCGAGGGATACGAAGCCGATCATTCCTTTCGTTCAGAGCTTTCGTGAAGAAGTCTGACCATCGGGCCGCCGGTCCTCCAGGTGTTCGTTTGACGTCCCGAGAGATCCAGTCGGTAACCGCTCTGGTCATCGCAAAGTCGCATGACGTGTCTGGCCCACCTTATCTTCGATCGTTGGCGTAGTTCCAAACTCCGGATTCCCCTCTGCACTTGCGTGTATAGGGTTACTCCTAGCATTGTCCTCTCGACAGCGCGTTGGATAACGCTGACCGCATGCTCGTCCTGCCTGCGCAGAGTCCAAGTCTCTGAAGCGTAGGTTAGGGCAGGAAAAACTGCAGAATCGAAGAGGTGGACACGAAGTCGGATGTTCTTCGTCTTATCATCCTATGTCTAAAATGACAGAGAAACAGCTCCATAGAATCGTTAAGATTCGAAAATATGGAGCATCTATAGGCAAAGCCTCCATTTTCAAGGGTCGCTCGGCTCCTCCTTGCAAGGACAATTCGCGGAAAATTGGAGACTCACAAGCCAACACTTCTTTAAGTCCATCGTGTAACTCTAACCACTTTGAAACGAGCACGCATCGGCTTCCTTCTCTGCTCCATCTTTTGAAGGAAAAATCCAACTTGATGTACTACAATGTCGAAATCGACATCCAATACCTCCTGGATCACAACTCAGCGGAATTCTTCGGAAAAGGTACTACACCTATCCCTACTTTGAAACTATGTTGCTAATCATGTAGGTGTATACCAAATCAGAAATGTATGTCAGAGGAATGAAAGCCGCTTCCATTGGTCTGCACTGCTGCATGCACCTACACATACTTATCGTACTTCCTTGTCTTAGGTGAAAGCGGACACAAGCACGAGGCAGCTCTTTGTACGTATTGTAACTTTGTAAAGTTTCATCAATTCTTGGGAAACAGAATTTGAAATAATCTGAATGTCTCGCTCGACAGACCTGGCATATTACTAGCCGTGGGATTGAAAAACTTGGGAATTAGGAGTATGGACAGAAATGTCCTCATATCATAATTCAGTGCAAGAATTGAAATGTTGTAGAGAGCAGCAATCTCACCTGATAGGTCCTCTTTCATTCACTAGGAATAGAAAGCGGCCAGAAATATGGTGATGAAAACTTGTCTTGTGCAAATTCTAATTTGAAAAGACCTAAACCATCGAATGATTCAGGTAATGGTTTTTATTGAATCCGCATTTCGTTTCTAGATTGATCTAGTAAGTATTGTATCGCATAGCAAAACCAAGTGGAGTAATCAGAAATCTTGATCACCTACCGAAAAAATCACTGAAAAAAAATCGCAAGTGTCCCGCAATTCATATGACATTTTCGACCAATCACGAACAAAAGCAAAAGGTAAGGCGAGACTCCTATGAAAAACTTTTAGCAACCATGAGCTGCAACAGAGAAACAATATGTGCCTTAAACTCAGTGTATCGGTTGCCTGATGCTGTTTAGACGCATCGATGCATCGTAGGATACTGTAGTGGCTTGAAAATGCAAGGGGGAGGCAAAAAAGACATTTTGCCCATGTCGCATTTCGGCCCTTTTTTCTTCGCAGAGGTTGCCACCGTTGACAGAAACTTTTCAGCAAAGTATTCATTGAACATCCTTCTATAAGTAGACGCAGGCCTTCCTTCTCTGCTCTCACCGTCTTCAGAATATGACGTCATCTGTCATCGTCGCCAAGCTCAAGGAGGCCTACTGTAACTGCTTCAGTCTGAAGCTCTCACGTAATTTCGTGAATTGGTTCAATGTTTGGATAGTGTTCTAGAGATATTAGCTCCCAATATGCAAACCCGCTCAAAACTCGCTTCTCAGTTGTGGACGTTATAGTATCCTTCAAAGGCCCTATTGAGCTCGACCAGTGCACCATGTTTCCGGAGCGAATTCTTCTTATGACGTTCACGAGGGTGGTCACTATGAAGTTTTTTTATAGAGTGAAATGCGCTCTTTAATACTTTCTTGGAAACATTCGGTTTTGAATCGAGCAAAGTGTGATTGAAACCATTTGGAAGTGGAGACAAAATGACTTTTTTTATTGGCTCCTCCTGAACATGACTCTTAACCCATTCGATCCTCTCAAGCCGCCTAGTGGAGCCCGGTTAGGATACCTAATATCCAACAACAAGACCCACTGCCTGACTTCGCACTAAATATCACTTGCTGATTGGTCTCTACATTACCATAATCGTGTTTCTGTAAACAAAATGCATTACTTACCCTCCAGTTGACGTGAAAATGCAGGCTTTTGCATTTCATCGCCACAAAGACACAAATTATAATGGAAACATAGCCAGCGACAGCTTGCAGAAATAGGACCGACAGAAACCAGAAATTCTGAACCAATATATCTGCATCGGAGCAGCTTATAGCCATGGTGAAGAAAATAACAGAAGAATACCAGAAACACTAAATTATGATGTGCTGTTGAGAAGTGCAATAAGTAGAGAAGAAGAATTCTTTTTGTTTCTAATTTCACTTACAAGAACGGGCCGTAGTATTTTTCCAGGTCAGCCAATTCTTCAATCAATTACACTAAAAGGATGCCATATAACGAAGAACTGGAGCATCCTACAGGCTAGCCGAGTGATTGGAGTGACAATCAAGAGTTATTGCCACCTTATATTACCTTTTACCTTAATCCTAGACCCTCTCAACTAGAATTGAGTGCGGCTAATCAATATGCGAAAATTCAAAAGGAGTTTCCTACCGGGATCGCCAGATGTTCACGTCCGGTGTTGATAGCGGACTGCAAGCGCTTAATGACATTGCTACAGAGTACTCTCTAGTGGTGTAAAATAGAAACTCCTACGGGATGTCTCTTCTCGATGCAGCAGCAGTAACGAACAGAAAGGCAATTCTACACTTCTGGCAAAAAGAGGAACCTCAGAGCATCCATCTGCTTGCAATGAGTCCTCCGACATTCTTCTAACCCAATCCATCGCATGCGACCAAACAAATCCTTATTTTCTTCAAAGAACTTTGCGCTATCGCAAAGAGGGGCATTGTGGTTACAGTGCTTTCAAAATTAGAAAGAAACCCTCCCTGTGAAGAACGAGAATAAGTCCCAGATGAGAGGAGAAACTTAAGAGTGCGTGAGCCCTCTCCAAGGCTTAGTCTTAGATTATGTCCCGCACCTTGCGACAGCGTTGACAGTTTCATCGTTATGAGGATTCTGGAAACAATTTTCAAGAAAGCTCACCACGATGAACGCAAGGAATCAAGAATTGCACAAAAAGGAACCGGAAAATGCGTATCGCTTTATCGCAAGAATCCTGGAATAGAATGGATACACGACGTACATGCTCAAAGGGTGACGATAGTAGTTGACGTTTAGTGATTCGGTGATTAGCCTATACTCGCTAATTATCTTGCATGAAACATTTTATTATCAATAAGATGATGAAGTATGTAATTAAGGCACTTGTCTTTAATAATCGTGCTGGTGGATATTGACGAGAAGTTGTTGTCCCGACGGTTTTCACTAATTAGTAAATTACCATAGCCGAATGATTTCAAATCCTTCATGGGAACAGCTTCGTTATAGGAAAGCTATAGTAATTGTGGAATGACCGAGACGGTCTCCCAAAAATTCAGAAAAGAAGCGGCCGAAAAAGGTGGTATAAAGTATCCCACGTTATCAGGCCTCAGATGAGTGACTGCTTCATTTCTGAACCCCCGTTCAGGCTGTCTGGCTGATGTGTGTATTGAAGGTGAGCACAGCACGTGTATGTGGTTTGCATAGGAAAGGCGACTCTCAGCAGGCGAGCCGCAATGGAGAAAAAGGTCGTTCAGCGGTTACAGCATTTTTTCATTACGGTTTTCGCACCGAGCTACGTGTACGGAACACAGCCTTTCGCTGAGTGGCTCCTCGAAGGCCATAAGGCCGATGTCATAGTTTGCGAATCGGACTTGTATCATAAGACGATCGCCCTGGGACCCTAACCAAAACGCGGAGAAGTTCTGCCATGAGGAGTCGTGCTTCACAGTGCCACGTGCAGTAAAGCGTTGCGCCAGCGAATCAAACGTTGCACCAGCGAGTGGCTAGCGAATCGCTCGATCGGCAAACTATGACCTTGGCTCAACAAAGGACGTGAGTCAAGGACGTAAAAGGTTTGTTTTGCAGCTGTAATTGTGTTGTGTATCTGTGTATCGAAGCTGTATCAGTCATTATGGTGGCCAGAAAACAGTCAAAGATTCTCGCGAGATTTACAAATAAAAAACGCGGAGTCTGGTCGAAAATGAGCTTACTCAAATAACGTGCTAAAGCAAGTGTTGGCATTTCATGGAGCTTGGCCAAATCGGTAGCCTGGTGGATGACGTAGAGGAATTTTATGGCGCTTGGCACTGTAAGGTACGAATCCTAATGGCAGAGCATTTTCGCGTCTTTTTTAGGGTCCCATGGCGATCGTCTTATGATACAAACCCCATGATAAACACCACACTTAGAGCCATTAGCAAAAGAAAATGTGAGTTTTCATCAAGATCTGAAGGAAAGAGCTGTGGCACCTACTATTTCGAATTGCTCTGGCTTTAAAAAATAATGTCAAAATCGTAATCAGGACACTTATTTATGCTTAAGCCGAAGTTATGGGAAAGATCGAGATGTTCACCTAACTTTGAAAAATTGTAGTAAGAATAGGTCTCTACCATACATCTCAGACGACTTAAAAACCGGCTTTCAAAGCTAGCGGTACTACAGTGATCAACACGAAAGGTGTAGTTCATCATCGCAGGACACTTCCCATTAACAAGAGGGCTAATCTGTGGCAGGGCAGCGGCCTCCAACCAATCCAGTAAAACATTCGTTTGACCGAATTGAGCGGAGGTTTCAAAGTTGCTACAAAAGTCAATTTCTAGTTTTCCAATGACTGGCTAAGTTAACAAATACACTTGATCCTGACTAATAATTTAATGGTACTTTGATATTGTACTTTACAGAAACGCGAACAATATCGCGTGGATATTAATGCGTGACAGAAGATATGCGCCAGATGCGGTCCGGTGTTATTGTTCGAGGTATTTTTTTATTTTCGAAGGATTCAAGTAACCCGGGTACACCTTTCTCACATTCTTAGAGAGCAGCAAACGTTTTTAGGAGAAGACTGCTCTATGTTTGCCGAATTTACAGCGGAAGCAATTTTTTGTCTTTAATTACGTACTTCCTCACTAGTCCTTCTTCCTTCAACACTGAATGAAGCATACACCTCAGAAGACATCGCTAGTCATGATGATAAAAGAGGAGTGGAAGTTATATTGAAAAGGAAATGCTTAGAAAGTATGACTGGAAGGCTTGAATACCCACTAGAAAGCTCCAGAACGCAAACCAAAGAAGATTCGAATGACTGGGGTTTCACAAATATATTCGACTTTCTTTAAAGGCTCCTAATATGGCGATTCAGCCGAAATTCAGTCAGAATAAAAGTCTGTATCAATTTCGGAGGCTGTATAAGACAACCAAATTGAATACTAATACTGTGCCGAAATTAATGAGAGTCGATCTTGGTCATTTCACTTTATGCAGACAAGGACTGCGAAGGTAATCATGGAATAGCTACCGAACTTGGCCGCAGCACTGTGGGAGAAATTTTGAAACGTCACCAAATCCGATCATATATTTCCCCCGAAAGACCGCCCGTAATTATATTGCAAAGATAACTCGGCACGCTCCGAGGGAAAGTGGCTGGACCACGAGACCACATCCTTCGTATAGCACTGACATTGCTCAATTGTACTACCACCTCCTCAGTTTCCTGAAGCAGCAACTAGGAGAGAAGAAAGTAAGTAATTACAACCACTCCAGGAACGGCCTCCCCGAGCCTTTCATCTCACGTCTCATCTCATCTTCTCATCTTCCCTTGTTCTGGGAGGAATGCATCCATTCGCTCCCTAGCGAATGGATACGTATGAGTGTTAAAGTGATGATTATATTTTTGATGAATTGTTGGGCTCATGTAGGCGCATTGTAGGCGCGCATCATCTTACCTTCTCTTTTGCTTTCGCATCCTTCGTGGAGAATCAAAATTGTGTGCCAGTAAGTACTAAATCTTCAGGCCAGCTGGTGCTAGGCGACGTGGTTCAGTATTCACTACGCTCGCGCTGGTAACAGAACCGCTCCCTTTCTTAATACGTATTTTGTCGCAGTCACTAGACTGGCTTAACTGGCTTCCAGAATTTTGCCTCTGTCAGTAGTGCTGTTCCCAAGAGAAGGCTGGAGAAGGTGAGTCCTGATTATGTTCCTCATATTTCAAAATGACATATCTCCAATCTTCCAGCTTTTCAGCTCTCTGCTTGTAGACGACTAGGAAGATTGTACTATTGTTTTTGGCTGCACTGTGTTGCTGTTTTTACCCGATATTGTCCATTTTCCAAACTCAACTTGCCTCTCCAGTTGAACAATGCGGCACCGAAATCTCATTTTTTGAACCACTAATTCAGTAATGATCAATTTATTTAGTCGGTTTTTCACTTGCTAGATTGTAGGTATTGATGCTGAACCTGCGTCAGTCAGCTGTATGGGTTTTCTTTTCCTTCAAGTGATTCTTAGTCACAGGTAGTACCACTCCAGAAGCTTGTGATAGAAAAGATCACCTCGACTTATCCTACTGTCGGGCGGAATTGGTGTAGCGGCAAGTGGCACGATCACCACGCGAGCGGTCCGGGGATCAAATCCTGGGTCGCGAGTCGCCCGGGCCAACCAAGCCTTCCATCCCTCCGATTAATTGGTACTAGACCTCTCTGGGAGGATATTAACACTGACTTGTACATCGGCTGGCCCCCGCAAGTCATTGTATAGGCCACATCGCATTCAAATGCCACTAAGAATGCGCAAATAGAAGTAGAATGGCCGCATCCCAAAAAGAGATTGATCAGCGGCAAATGCTTTATCATTTTCCTTTATTTTACTGTAATCCGCACACATATCTAAGCTTGTTTGCGTCCTGAGTTGAGTGCGGCTCAGCAAGTGACTTGATATTTATGCACTTGTATCTGTGTTTTACGTCTGGGGTCCGTATTCAGATTGAAGAGGACCTACTTTTTCCCGCTCCGGAATAACTACGGTTAGTTGCGTGCCCCAGATTGACCCGCGCTCCTCTACCTACTTCAGGTTACCTTCGCAAAATGTGTTAGCGACGATGACAAATCTCTCTTTATTCAATATGTCGAGTGAAGCTTTTTCGATAGCCTCTTTTGGGAATCAGAAAGCTCTTGGTCTGTACTACTAAATCTGTCTTGTTCAGGTTAAGCTACAGGAACATTGCAAGTTCGTTAGCTCCGACCTGCTTGCCTTGTACACATCACCGGTAATGGACCTATTTCTTAGAACCATGGTTGAGTGTTGGTGTTGTTTTTGGGCGTTCTGTTTAATGTTTTCGTTTTCATCTTTGAGTATTGAATTCTTTGTTCGATTTCTTGACTTTCTGCTGACTACTAGCACTGCTGGCGCACGTAAACAAATCAATCAATAAACAAACAAATAAATAAATACTGAGGGGTTCAATAATTTCCCTATACGATCCCCCACGAATGTCCCTTCCTTCCTACGTAGTGTCTAAGGATGAGTCTGCAGTGCCGCTGCAGCAAGATGTATTATACATATAATGACCGAGCATGTGACCAGTGCCTGTTTATGTAGTGTCCAAGGATGTTACCAGTAGTAATTTATGCTTTTAAACTGTTGTACGATCTGTAAGACCCCAGTTCTCTCCGCAATGGTTTATCCATTAGCACTTGTTCAGTTCGTTTACGGAAGGACAGACAGGCATACCGGTGTACATACAGACATACATACAGGCAAATGATTGAGGTAACTCAAATCGAGACAATCTGCTACTACACCACTGAGCAAATTTGGGAATCAACTTACAGCACTGTGACTGACAGCAAATCAAACCAAATTCATGAAGCAGCAACTCGCATTCGACGAAGCCATTAGACGAATTCAAAATGCATTAGATATAATTCTAAAATGACCAAATCAATGGAATTTCCTATCAGCTTCGGAAAAAACAGTTTACATGAGAATAGGTGCATTTAATTCAGCATATGAATATCTTCTCGGTAACTACGTACTCAACCAAGTCTCTTCTGTCAGAGATCTTGGGCTTTATTATGATAATAGACTTGGCTTTCCCAAGCACTGTGAATCTCTCTGTAGTTAGGAACATTCGCACATACCAAATTTCCAAGATCTTACTATCAATGACAAAGAGCTTTCCGTTAAAGCATACAAGATGTACATTAGACCTATCATGGAATGTGGGACATCTGTCTTTTGTCAAAGACTGAAAAAAGATATCGAAGTCTCAGAGAAAGTTGAAAAGACTTTCACAAGAAAGCTTTCTATCAAGTGTGAAGATATGTCTACTCCAGAATACCAGACTCAACTCATAGGAGTAGAAAATGTAAATTGCACACTCTAGATTCTCGTCGAGTTCTTTGATGCTTGTATGATTTTCAGAATTATGTGTGGTATCGCTGTAGTTAATTTATCCAAGTTCTATCGATTAGTCAACTCTAAAACTTTAGCGTCGTTAGAGAAGATTTCTTTCCTCTGTATCTCCCGAAACACGCTTGAAACTTTCGAGCTTTACTTGTAGAGCTGGCTCAACATTTGTTTCTCTTAAAGTCAGTATGCCGTTTACTCCTCAGATTTGTGTATCGTTCAAACGTAGGGCAAAGAAGCTGTTTCGGTGTTATTGAATAATGTGATTATAATGATTGCTTGATTGTATGTAATTGTGGTTGTGGCTGTTACGTCTGCCTGCGAGCAGCCCCTCAAATAAACAAAATAAATAAACACATAATAGCCTTGAGTGACATCATAGAAAGCGCGTGAATATAATGTACGAAATATAGTACGATGCAGGGAATTTTCTGCTATAATTCGCGTTTTTTTTTCGAGCTCACTGAAAAAATTTGACACCTCGTGAACAAATCAAGATCAACGTAATTAGCTGAGTGAATAGGGATCCTTTGTATAATGAACATACAGCGAAATTATTGAAGTAAAAGCAAAACAAGAAATGATGACTTTGGCCATAAACATAAGGGGAAGCAAAACAATAACGTTATCTAGATTACTGTGACATGAGGAGATTAATGTCAACAAAACCATCGAACAATGAGACTTTTCAAAAATTGGCATTATATGCTCGCTCATGTGGGCTACTACAGTACTTGCCGATTATACGGCCAAGTGAATACCGTCCGTGGGCCCTACAGAAAACGACTTCTCTATATTACAATAAGTAGATGATACATCTCGATTATACGCTCCTAATAGCAATTCCAAGTTGGAGTGGTCTCGTGGTAGCTGACGTTGCTCCACGCACACGGCCCGCGGATCAAATCCTGGATCGGTCGCAGTCCAGAACTGACAAGTGGTCCATCCCTCCGAGGTCGGTTGACTCGTAGCGCATTCGGTCGGGAATAGGATGAAAGCACTCACTCGCCCTCCCCCCTAACCAGTACAACTCCTTGTATTGGCCAAATTGCATTCAAAATGCTCCCGGGATTTTGTATAGAATTACACTGCGTGGTGCACTTAAAAAGGTTTCGATCAACACTAAGTGATAT